TATTCACCTTTAATAAATAATTTGGTGTGACGTCACAATGTATTCTCCATGCTACGCGTAATTTGTATTTTCTCTTTAAAAAAAATAATGAATTATTTATTGTAAATTAACATCAAATTCTTTAAATTTACATTTCTGAGCTAAGGCGTAACTGAAAATAAGTATAATAAATTGTTTATATTTAAAATTATCATGATACAGTAAGCGAATTCTACCAGTTATTACAACGATAAAGAACGTCGCAGTCTCTCATACTTGTATTTCATACAGCTTCCATATTTTCAAAGATTTTTAAGCTTTAGCATTTATACAAATAAAAACAGAATTTTTTTAAATTAATTATTTTCTGGAACATATCAATTTTATCATATTTACAAATTAACGTTTTGCTACGTAACAACATAATCCCTTATATACCAAGTAAGTAAGACAATTTTCATTATTTTCTAAAAATTTTAAACTTCACATTAATGAAAAACAGGTTCTTAAATTTCTAAATCACATTATATTCTCTGTAGGCAGGCATACTAGAATTCTACACATAAATAAAAAAAAAATTTAATTTTCTCGCAATGAAAGAAAATATTATAAGAAAATAAATACTACAAATTAGGAACACTAAGCAATGCTTCACATACACACACACACATACAGTGTCTCACAAAAGTGATGGGACACTTGTGCTTTACAAAAGGAAACTGTAGTAAATAAATAAAAAAAAAAAAAAACATGTAAAAATTTTTTGTGGGTGTGTTTCATACTTAAATTTAGTAACAATTATTACATAACATACATTTTCTCAAAATATTAAAATAGAATTTAATAAAAATACAATTGTTTAGAAAGGCGCAAAAAATGGCTCACGTAAGTGATGGGACACTTACTTTTCCATCAAATATTTATCCAAAAATTTTACTTTATAAAAGGTTTTTAATATTTTGTTGGATTTCCTTTTACTTTTAAAACATGATTTAATCTTCTTGGGATGGATTCGACTAATTTTTTTTTGCGATTTCTGGAGTGATTTTACCCCATTCTTCTTGAAGCACCGATTTTAATTGTTGTTTTGAAGAAATGGTGTGTTTGCGAAATTCTTCCCTGGGTTTTTCTCCACACCAAGATTCTACCGTCAGAACCAAATATATTAAATTTACTCTCATCAGCAAATATAACTTCATTCCAGTAATCAGAATTCTTATTTATGTTGGATTTTGCGAAAGCCAGTCTGAGGTTTCTATTCTTTTCACTCACGAAGAATTTTTTCCTGGCTGCTCTACCGTGATATCCAGCAATCGAATTACTCTTCCAATAGTCTCAGGATTAACAATTACTCCATATAATGCTTGTAAATCAGGCAGCAACTTTGGGAGCACTCATTCTTGGATTTTTTTTAATATTTCGAACGATAATTCGCTTTAGTCCATTGGATAGGTTTGATGGTCGGCCAGGTCTTTTATCCTGAATCATATGATTCTTTTTATATCGTTTAATGATATTAAAAACTGTTGAATGACTCAGGTTAACGGTTTCAGCAGTTTCTCTAATAGAATTTCCACGTTCAATATGCAAATTAATAACTAATTTTCGAATTTCAGGCAAAGTTTCTTTTCGTTTAGCATTCATGGCCGCACAAAGATAAAAAACACAAGAATTCCAAAACAAACTGGAGAGAAATACTGCAGACGATTGCGATAAATTATTGCCAATAGCTTTTGCTTTGAGTAAAAATAAAAACCCCAAAAAATATTTTTATTGCTTACTTCAGACGATTTTTGTTGCATAGTACGTAGTAGTATCTAATGGTGTCCCATCACTTATGTGAACCATTTTTTGCTCCGTTCTAAATTTTTATTAAATTAATATTTTGAGAAAATGTATGTGATGTAATAATTGTTACTGAATTTAAGTATGAAACACACCCACAAAAAATTTTTACATGTTTTTTTAATTTATTTTATTACAGTTTCCTTTTGTAAAGCACAAGTGTCCCATCACTTTTGTGAGACACTATTATCAAAGAACTCATATTATCAAGTGCGATTACGATTGCAAAAACTACGTATTATAATAATGAGGTAAAAGTTACTTATAGGTTCAAAGTTTACAGTTTTGCTACTGTTGAGTAGATCGTCGGGCTATCGATATATATTGTAAGTCGGAAAGCATTATAAACATATCAAAACCAAAAAATTAAAAATACAATTTAAATGAAAAATGATGTCTTAAATATAATTCACAATTAAAACAACAATACAAATTTAAAATACACAAACGATATGTTAAACATTGCATATAAAATACGTTACATTACAGCTCGTCATCACACATTATCTCGTTTTCCTTTGTACACAACGATCCGTATTCGCCCGAAAAACATCAAAGCTCGGTGTCCATGTACACATCCATCTATTTCCACCTTAAAAATATCAGAAAATTGCACAACCTCGGCATTGCGCACTACATTGGCTCTGCCCATGTACACATCGATCTATTTTCACTTAAAAAAACATCCTAGAATTGCACAAACTAGGCACCGCGCACTACATTGGCTTTGCCCATGTACACATCGATCTATTTTCACTTAAAAAAACATCCTATACTTGCAGAAACTAGGCATCGCGCACAACCTCGGCACAGCGCACTACATTGGCTCTGCCCATGTACACATCGATCTATTTTCACTTAAAAAAACATCCTAGAATTGCGCAAACTAGGCACCGCGCACAACCTCGGCATTGCGCATTACATTGGCTGTGCCCATGTACACATCGATCTATTTTCACTTAAAAAAACATCCTAGAATTGCACAAACTAGGCACCGCGCACAACCTCGGCATTGCGCACTGCATTGGCTTTGTCCATGTATATGGCGATCTCTTTTTACTTAAAAATCAGAAATTGAATAAACTCTGCATTGCTCATATACTAAGAAATCTGCTTTCACTTTAAAGAAATCGGAGAATTGCAGACAGTGCATAAGCAACTCCATTGATTCGCGTTAAAAAAAAAAAAAAAAAAAAAGTTTCTAGAAAAATTGAGTTTACTACAGGCGAATCAAGATCCTAGCCTAATTGATTTCTCAGCCGTACATTTCTTGCAAATACTACCATTCGATGACTTTTTCTGACTAACTAACCAGCATGGTATCTTACATTTTTCACAGAAAACGTGACCCTTCAATAATCGACAATCCATCAAAAATCCTCTAAAAAGTTCATACTATTGTTTAATTCATACATAAAATATCTGTTCCCAAAATTTTTACGCTTGTTTTAAAAACTCCCACCTTAAATTTTTCTTTTCCTTTATAATCTCCTGATATTTAATTACAACATCACTAACAGCAGTTTTAGAGCAAGCAATAACTAAACGCAAAAATATCACCTCAAGTAGCCAAAAATATATATACAAAATAGTATTCACGGTATCTGAGCGTTAAACAATCGCCAATAACAGTGTTACGAATTGTGTATTTAGATATTAATTTTAGTAGAGTTCTAATTTAAAATGTATTTCCTCCTACAACGCAGGAGACAAATTTTAAGAGAAATCTATACCGGAAAAGTAAGAATACAGGGCACGTGCATTAAACTTTGAGTAAACGGATATGTCGGTAATTTGTATTGAAATTGAATAAATGTAACTGACTACTAAATTAGCTGTAACCGTAATTCCATCCTCTTGTTTACATTGCGTTTGGCGAATAGTATGGGTTACCAGATCATATCATTTATCGCCGCTCTTGGCGATATTTTTTTTTTGTTTAAAATTCCGGGTGGGCTATACTAAAGCTGTGCCAAAAATCTAACAAGGTCTGAAAGTTTTAAGCTATTATTTTGTACTTTTACAAACTTAAGACACACGCACAAAAAAGTCTAGTTTTGCATCAGAAAATCTAATAATATCATATAAATAACAAAAACTGATCGACGCATAGGAAAATATTCGTAAAATTCGTTAATATATTTCAGTTTATTATAAATTTTCTAATTAATAGGTAAGTCTGACATTTCATTTCCAAACTTTGGAGTATCTAAGTACATAAATTACAATACATTAGAAGTAAAAATTACAAAAATAATTCTTAAGTTTCAAACATTTTCAAAATTGAAAGAAGGGTGCAGCTGGCTTCATATTTAATAACTGGCAACAATGAGTAAAATTCTGTCAATTTAAAAAAAAAATTATAGACGCATTAAGTGCAACTTTAATTTGAAACATCAGTTGACTAGTAAACTTTGAAGGAAAAAAAATCTGTTTTAAATCCATATCTAATTTAATAACTAACTTTTCAATGTTCTCATGAATAAGAAATCTTACAATCTTCTAAATTCAGTTTTTCAGAAGGCAACATAGCAGCTAACTTTTCCTTTTCTCTGTTTAGACATTAACAGATTGGGAAATCGCCCAACCGAGATAGTGGCTTGTGACTGACCTCCGTACCGAACGGTCCGAGTTCGAATCCTGGAGAAAGTTTGTAAATAATCTAAATATGATAATAATACCCTTGGGGGCAGACCTCAAAACTAGTCAGATTTTAATTTAAATTTAAATTGCAGTTACTATCTCTTGCCTTTGCGTTCAGCGAATCAGCATATACCTTAGTAATGCTTATTGCTCTATATTTCGTGTTATAGGGAACACGATGCTCCAGTTAAATAAAGTATTTACTTTTTCTGTATGACCCTTTTTGTCTACATGATCTGCAGTACACAATTAAAGAAAAATAAATATCAAGACATATATGTGACTGATATATAATTATATTTATGTATATTGTTTGATTACGTTATTCTTATCATATAAAAAAAACAGGCTTTGACATATAAATGAGAAAAATCTTAAATATATGTATTCATATACCACATTCTGTTAATTAATTATCCATCAACTAACTAAAAATAAACTCATATAAAAATAATTTGAAAAACATTGATTATGAAGTTTATCAAATTCTTATTTCACGTGCAAAATAATATGATATAATTAAAAAAACATACCTTATCTTTTTATGACTAATTAGTAACAATAGTCTTTGCCTTATCTGAAAAATATTCATCTGATTCTAAGCATAGATGAATATATATAATCATTCATTTGTCTCATTAAATATTCTATCAGTTCAGATGAACAAAATGCTTTTAATGCTCAGTCAAAATGCTTTTCCACAAGCTATTACTTATTGCTCCCACTAGAAAACCTTAAATCACATTAAGGAAAACATCTTAAAAAAACTATTATTTTTAATAACTAAACCGCCATTTTTCAACCACCAAGATGAGTCTGCACCAAAATAGTAAATTTATTTAGAATTCGGCGCCTTCACAATTCGATGACTCAAATAACGTTTTCTGTCAGTTTCATATCCCATAATACATCTGGCTAATAAGTTTACGCTCGGAAAAGCTCAGTAAGTATTTCGATATCGCCAAAATTGAGGAAATCGTGCCAATTTATTGCATAACTCGCATATTTGGCGACTGCCAAGTAGTGATAAAGTGACAAAGGGGTACGCGTAAACTGATGATTCAGGATGGTGGTTTTTCACGAATGCAAATACAGAAAAATAGGAAATTGCTATATTTGTTTGATGTTAGGAAAACCGTCGTTTCACTTCACAGTTATACGCAATATTTATTACGCATTTCACCGGAGGGTAGGGTCTTATTTCTTCAGTAGAACTTCTGATATTAGTGTGCTGAGTAAAGGCTACGGTAGCTGAACTTAGGTACAGTGGCTGAACTCAATAATTAAAACTTTTTTTTAATTAAATGAATATTATTAATCCAACTACTAACAGTTTTTAAAAATTTAGTAATGCAGGAACATTTGAAAATCAAGAATGCAAATTTTATTACGGAAATTCTTCTTCTTCTTTTTTTTTTTTTTTTTTTTTTTTTTTTTTTTTTTGTTATGAAATGAGGCTTAGAATATGTAATGCTTTCTGTTATTCCTTCTTTTTTAATTTAACCCATTCTTTGGGGGAAGAGGGCTAAAAGGATATTTCACAAAAATATTAAAATATTAAACTGAAAATAGAAGTATTTTATAATTATATATACAGTACAAATACTAATCACTTTATTTATTGGGAAAAGCTCTCTAACTTACCGCCCACCAGTGATCAAGTGGTTTAAACGGCTGAACACTCATAGTTAGATGCATCTCCCGCTGCCCAGCGGCCGAGCGGTAAAGTCGCTGAACACTGGTAGTTCGGTCCGAGTTTCGAATCCCGCGAACGGGCTGACTGCATGGGTGTTTTCGTGGTTTTCCCCATGTGTAACGTGTATACGAGCCAGTTTCCCTTAGAAAGTCCTCCACGAAGGATCCCTCCCCTTAGGCAGACAGCCCTCGTGTGCTTTGCCATAATTAAATACACCAAACATCTCCCTCTGCATGCCAGAATAACCAGCAAAGTGTCAAGTTGGGCTCAGTTCAGATCCCAACGAATGGAGTGACTGCATGGGGTTTCTGGTGTTTTTATCTGCGTAAAGTACAAATACCTCTCCAGTTCCTCCAGTTCTCCAGTTTTCCTAAGACGTCCCCACAAAGGCAATTATTATTTTGAGATTGACTGAAAAATGGCAATGTCCTTATAAGTTTGTCATATTTTATTAAAACAGCATAGCTCTGCAGAACTATCTGTCTTGGAAGGAGGTCGAGAAGATTTTCAAAGATGTCGTTTTCACGGCTCGTATTAATACAAGAAAAACATCGCAAAATTCTCATCCCCTCCGTTCAATCTTTGGGAAAGGTAAGGTTAGGTGATTTAGATTACGACAAAGTCCACGAAAGTTGTTTAAGGCAAAGGATGACATGGAAGACCTTTTTAAGTCCTTCATGGAAGACCTTTTTAAGAAAAACTGGTTCGTATTCATTTACGTACAGGGAATACCATGAAAACTCAATGTAGCCAGCCCGTTCCCCAAGAGCTGAAGTAGGTCGAACTACCAGTATTCAACGGTTATACCATTCAGCCACTGGTGAACGCTTTAGGAAAGAAATCCGAGAAAACTACCAGTGTTAATTGTGTTAATTGTGTTATTCATTTTGTATTCGCATGTCCAAGTATACATAAATATCCAACAATTATACAGTAATTCAATTATGAATTTGGATTAATTAGTAGACATAACACAGTAACTTATCAGTGGCAGAGTTGCTAAAACTGTGGAAGCCTCCATGTGGATTTAAAATTTATATGGTTCAGCTGATGCAGTTTGACGCATGTATAACGCAAATTAGAATTTTCCTTAGAAAATTTCTATGCAAAGTTCTAGATAAGGTAACTTTTGAATATTTTTGCTGTAGTTAACTTTGAAAAAAAGATAACAGACAAAAAGAAATAATCATAACTTTAAATTTTTTAAATTTATATTTTCATTTATTAAGAGTATTTTTAAGATTCTTTTTAAAATTTCTTCATTCTGAAATTGAAATACCAGCAAATAATATTATTCCTGGTTTTATTATTGCAAATAATGCGGACTAAATGTGTTAACACTGATCTTCTCGACAAAATTAAAAAAATATAATAGTAATAAATGAATGTGCGAAAAATTGAAAGAAGGGGAAAATATTTGGGACTTATTCATACCATTATCTGCTTGCTTGGCGGTAAAGTCCCTGAATACCGGTAGTTCGACCGGCTTCGAATCAAGGTAAACGGACTGCTGCATGGTCATATTTCTTGGTTTTAACTTGTGTGTATTTTAGAGACGAGTCAGTTTCTTTTGAGAAGTCTCCACGAAAGCATATCTTCCCTTAGGTTGTGTGCTTTGCTATAATTCCCTTGCGTGCTTTTTCAGAATCAAATAAATCAAAACAATCGAATCACTACCTGTATCCTATCTCTCAACACTACGATTCTAAAATAAAAACAAAGGGTACTTTTCCGTTTGGCCGGCGCAAATCTCGCCAAGCAGACTTTATTACAGACTTTATTACAACATACAGTATACACATAAAAAATATTTAAAGAAATGTTAGTTCTAAGAATTCTTTTTTTGAAGGCATAAACATTTTAATATCGCTTAAAATTTTATATAAAAAGCCAATAAATAAAGACAGTAAATTTGTAAAAAGACATTAATTTAAGAATTTACTATGCTTTCATGGTTCAACATCCTGATTCGCCGGTTCATCTCACGTGACCCAAGCGATCTCATCTCACGTAAACTACTCTACAAAAATCTAATGCTAGTAATTATCTACATTAATTTCAAGTTAAATCTTAATTTGGAACACAAGTTTAAATGCAAGAAATATTTCAATTCGTACGAATAGCTTACTCAGAAATTATGTAAAGCTGCAGTGCTTTACTTCGCTAATGCATTCTCATTAGAATTGATGAATTTAACCCTTGACTTACATTTTCTATATTTTCAGCTTCGGGTAAGTGCTGTGATTGCATCCTGATTGACTTAATTACTGAAAATGGCCTTAGACATAAAACTGAACTATCTGATAAAAATTCTATGTAATTATATGCCACTATAAAGAAACAACCAATCTGATAAGAAAAAGCTGCGACTTGTTTTGAAAATGAGGCGTAAAAGGTTACCAGCGAGAATATTCCGTTTGGCATCGGTTGTACCATTATTGGCGACTTTATCGCTTGCGCCGGCAAAACGGAAAAGTACCAAACAAAGTTTACTTTCATAAATTTCCACCAGATGCTATATTTTTTGCAGATAATACTAAAACGATAATTTCGCTTTTGTGTTAGTTTCCTACGGAAACTTTTAAAAATAACCATTTTTACGAAATTAAATTTACAACGTGATTCACTATTTTGTAAGTTCCATAAATCTCAATGAAATGTACTTCAAAATAAATAAATGTCATCTAGATTTTTACTATAATGAGAATACATTAACCACACATGAGTACTGAAAAGTATTACTTTCAAAAGATAATTCATTGATAAGCTATTTGGGAAGTTCAAAATGATCTTTATTTTCAAAAGAAGAATGTCGAAATCCGGTTAATTATATTTTGCTTTCAAAAATTTAAACCCTTTTCAACATATTCGTTGCTACTTTTTTTTTAATACTTATTACGTGCTCCGCCCTTAACCACCACATGGAAAGGGAAAGATGCCTCGTGGAGGTCTTTTAAAGAAAAACTTGGCTCGTATCCACGTTACGCATGGGGAAAACCACAAAAATGCCCATGCAGTCAGCCCGTTCGCCCGGACTTGAGCCCCGGACCAAACTACCAGTGCTCAGCGGCTTTTACTGCTCGGCCGCTAGTGGGCTTCATGATACTTCTGGCAATTATTTTGAAAACTGTGTAAGCTGCTAAATGAAACGAAAATAAAACTGATGCCTAAATTCTTTCATATTTTACCTCAAACTGGTACACAAAGCAGCCATAAAATTGAAACATCCGAGACGCAACAAGCAAGTTACCTGGAAACGTGTTCTCCAAAAAGCATTTGAAAGGTGGAGGCGGAAATATTTTACTTCAAAACCTAAAATGCTGGCTCTTTTTTTTTTTTTTTTTTTTTTTTGTAAGAAAAGAAAATATGAAAGGTTTCAGATTTTAAATTACGTCCAAAGGGGCGTTTTAACAATATTTTGTCTGTTATCTTTATTTATTAAATATATGTTCTTCGCACTTAAACCATAAAATTCAATTCAACAGCAATATCGCAAAATAGTTTTAAATTGAGCTTATCTTTAGAATCAGAGTCTCGCGCGCTGGAGATAAAAATGTTTTTTCTGTACAACGTTGCCATTGCTCGCTTTGTACTCGTTGAGTTTTTTAATCAAAAATTCATTAAAGTTTTACAAAGTATGAAATCGATCATAAAACAAATTCCAAATTTCAAATTTGTCTTCCACATGCCCATATTCGAAGGAACATTACGTCATTCAAAATTCGATGGCTCTATGTACCGTTGTTTTATGACAGTGCGAGAAATAAGCATACATTTATTCAGATTTTTCATTATTTAATTTCTTCAAATATAATGCTGGACTCTAACATTTGGTGGCAGCAGTTTGAAAAGTGAAACGGACATTTATAGTGAATCAACGCAAAATCGCAAAACGAAAACAAAAGTCCTTCAGAGACAAAGCCTCTTTGGACTAAAAAAGAAAAAAAAAACCTTACACAGTCAGATATAAGGCACAGAAAGGCCGCTAGGAATATCTTCTGTTATACATGCAACAAATAATTTCTCTGTAGCGTCCGACTCAAGTTCCGATTCATTACAATAACCTTATTCCAGAACAAAGATTCGGGAAATGTTAACGTACGACATGGTGTTGTAGGAACTGATCACCTAATCTGATAGCAGCTTCAGAACTTAACTTTTTACCTTCGACCTCTTGCGGTT